TACCAATGAAGTGAGACTATCTTGGAATGAGATTTTTTTTTTTTTTTGGTATGGTAAAATATACATAACATAAAACTTAGCATTTTAACCATTTTCATTTTTTTCAAGTAATTAAAAAGCATTTTGTTGACATGACAGAGTGAGAACATTCAGTTAGCAGCTCAACTGCAGACAGCCCTTCCTCAGTTGCCCCTCCCCTTTTACACAGGTGTGTAAAAGGGACCCTTTTATTGCTAAGACTTTCCAGTCTTGGGGACAGAATCAGGGGCGAGCCCGTGAGCAGGGTGGGACCACCCCCTCGGGCCCGGGCCTAGTCCTGGGCACTGGCTTTCAGAGTGACTTGGTACTTCCCCGTCATCTCCTTGGGTAAGGGCAGCAGGCCTGGGCAGGGCATGTGTCCTTCCTCCTGCACATGCACTCCTGCGGGCAGTGCTTTCAGGGGCCAAAGTTGCCTGGGTGGGAAATCGCTTTTTCTCCAGCTCCCCTCTATTGAGGGTCTCCTCATTCTTCTCCAAGATTTTCTTGATGCGCTCCATGATCTCCTTATTGCTCTTGGTCTCCATATCCACAAGCACCTGCTTCCCAGTATCTAAGTAGAACGGCAGGAAGGGTGATGGCATCATGTTCGTAAACATCATGATCTGCACCCAAGGGTTTTTGTACTGGATCTGAGGTATGTTGAAAAAACACAAATTTCCTGGCACCCTCGCCCAGCTCCCCATGCGTGTTGTAGTTCACCATCATGACCTTCATCAACTCCTTGAACACCACTTCGCCCTGGTTCAGGTACTGCAGGATGTGGTAGATCGGGAAGCGGCCCGTCATGGGCGTGGTGGTGGCAGGGTCCAGTGCCAGCCCAATGGCAGAGGGGTCACCAGGGCTGCAGGAGCTGCTGCCTCCACCGACCGCACGCCACCTCTCCTCGGCCATTTTAACCATTTTTAAGTGTACAGTTCAGTAACATTAAATCCATTCACATTAGTGTGCAATGATCACTACCATCACTTTCCAGAACTTTTCACTTTCCAAACTGAAACTCCATTAAGCTCTAACTCCCTATTCTCCCTCCGCCCAGCCCCAATACACTTTCTGTCACTATGAATTTGACTGCTGTGGTAACTGATATAAATGGAATCATACAGTATATATCCTTTCATGACTGACTTTGTTCTCTTTGTATGTCTTCAAAGTTCAGCCATGCTGTAGCACGTGTCAAAAATCTCCTTCCTTTTTAAGACATATAGTATTCCTTTGTATGTGTATGCCACATTCTGTTTAGGCATTCAATTTATTGATGCCACTTGTCTTGCTTCCATCTTTTGGCTATTGTAAATAATGCTACTATGATCCTGGCATGTATTTCAATTCTTTTGGGTATATACCCAGGTGGCATCACTGCAGCACATGGTAATTGTACTTTAAATTTTTTGAAGAACTGCTACATAAGAATTTTCCAGTGGCTACACCATTTTGCTTCCCCACCAGCAATGCATGAGGGTCCCAATTTCTCTACATCCACACCAACAATTGTTATTTTCTAATTTTTTTTTTATTGTAGCCCTCTATTAAAGTGTTATTGTGGTCTTGATTTGCTTTTCCCTCGCATGGGTGCTGTTGTGCCGTGTTTATTGGCCGTGTGTATGTCTTCTATGGGAGAAAGTTTTATTAAAGTTCTCTGGCCATTTTGAATAGGGTTGTTTTTGTTGTTGAGACATAGGAGTTCTTTATATATTCTGGGTAGTCATCTCTTATCTGAAATAGGATTTGCAAATCTTTTCTCCCATTTTGTCGTTTCACCCTGTTGATAGTGTCCTTTGATGTACTAAAATTTTAAGTGTAGATATAGTAGTCCATATTATCCACTGTTTCTTCGTAGCCTATGATTTTGGTGTCATAGACAAGGAATCATTATCAGGCAAGAGTATTTTTCAAAGATCTCCAAGTGACCCTAGTGTATACCTAAGGTTGAACAGAGCTTCTCAAACCTTAACATGCATCTAAAGTCTTGTAAAAATGTTTAGTACGGGGCCTCCCTGGTGGCACAAGGGGTAAAGCAACACACTATGAAGCAATCCGCAGCCTTTGCAGCACGAGTTCGATCCCTGGCTGGCCAGGGAGCAACCTACATGGCACAGCAGACCTCTCCTGCCTTGCCCACTGCTCCTCTCCTCTCAGCAGTGTTTCAGTCAGTCTGTCTATTCTGTTGCCCACTCTGTCTCTGGTGAATCCTCTCACCCCAACACCTCTGACCTGTACCCCAGCTCTTGTATGCATAAATAAATAAATCTTTTAAAAAATGTTTAGTAGGCCTGGTATGGAGCCCAAGATTCTGCGTGTCTAACAAATTCCTAGATAATGCTGCTGCTGCAGGTGGGACACCACCCTGAATGTGAAGATGAACAGGGGCATTTGAATGGTTTCCTACATCTGAGTCCAGAGAGTACGGATGATACTTCTACGCCCCCATCCACCATCAAGACAGGCCCAAACTCACCCTCTACCTTCCACTGGTACTGAGCAGCCCTGGTGGGTCACTGGGTGCCTCTGACAGAGGGATGGCATGTAAAGCACATGTTTTTCTGCCCCGTTCTCCTCCCACCTGGCCGGGGGCGACCTTCCATCTCTGTTTCATTCAGGTGAATTCAGGCTCCACACTAATGAGGACTTGTTCCTGTCTGGCCTTGGCCCCTGGAAGGGAATTGCTGTAGAAACCTGCCGAAAATCTATTTTGCTAAAAATATATTTAATATGCTCAGAAAGGAAAACCCACAGGTTGGCCTAAAGTTTATAGAAGAAACTGGAGAGAAAAACTGCTGAAGGTCTACTTCTAAAAAAATAAACCCTTTAATCTATCATAAAATTTTAGAGTTTGAAAGGACCTTTAGATATCTACTTCCAAACCCCAATTTTGGAGAAGAAAACTGGTACACAATGAGGCTATGACTTGTTCAAGGTCACCAAGCAAAATAGAGGTCAGCCCATAGGTGTGTTATTTCTTTTTAATCTTGCTTAAGGTTATTTATCTGGAAATGGATAATACAGAGTCACACTTTTTTCATGTGGCTCCTTTAATTGAAAGTTTTACTTTTCACAGAAAAAGTAAAAATCAAGAGAGTGGATCAGGGTTCTCGTCCCTTGTGGCCTTCATAAGAGAATTTCCACCAATTGCTTGTATCCTAATAGGACCTGCCTCCCTGATGGCGGTGACCCCAAGTTTCCAGTGTGCTGCCTGGGAGGAACTAACTAGCTTCTAGAAGGCATGCTTTATGCCCCTCTCCTCCATCCTCATCACAAACAGTGTAAGCTGATCGTGGGACTCTTTCAAGCAACTGCCAATCAATCAGATTGGACTCTTAAGCTGAGAGTCATCCTACAATAGAGGTCATACCTTGAAAAGCCCAGTGACCTTCGGAGCCATGCTACATTTCAGTGTGTCTACCCTGGTTATTAAATACTCTTTAGCTTTTCATTCCACCCCCGCCCCCTGAAGCTCATTTATCTAGTTATGAGTTTCCTTTATCCCACCAAGCTTCCTGCCAAGTCGCACACACAGTGATGCGTTTGCCTTTGGTGGTGAGACAGCGGAAGATGCTGTTCAGACATCTTTGTCGTTTGGACTGACCTCACTCTGACAATGCAACCCCCAACACGTGCCCTCCTTTGCAGGAGGACTCCCCAAGGCTCATTTCAGCCCTGCAGCCTCCAACCAGGCGTTATGGGGGGCTTCGGAATCATGTTTGGCTCCAAAGCCACTGTCTGGGTGCTTCCTTTGGTCTTTCGGTCCTGAACTGGAGTAAGCTCATTTGCTGGCAGGAGCAAATGTCTCCATATGGGGAGTCAGTCTTCAGATCTTCTCTTCATTAAGACATCAGCCTCAGCCTGCTCCTGGCTGCCAGACGTGCGACAAGCCGGCAGGAAAAGTTCCACCAGGAAGGGGTTTGCTGCCTGCTGAAGGCAGGAAGGCACTGCCTTGCCTGTGGGACTAGACCTTCCGAGCCTTTGTGGGGCTTGTTCCAGCAGCGCCTCCAGAACACTCTGTGAGTTCTGTCTAGGCCCGCGGGCAGAGTCTCGGGGCGGTGCCATCTGTAGTGTTCTGAGCGTCTCCCTTGCTCACACAAGGAGGGGGCGGAGTCTTTCCACCTCCTTAGCCATTCTCATCTGTCTCCCGGGTGTGTGCCACCAGCATCTGTGGCCCTCGGCTGCTTGGCAACCCCCCTGAATTATGTTAGAGATATAATAATGAATTATACAATGGATTATACATAATTAATTTATAATAAAACACACATGCAATGGTTTAATTTCTCCAAGTGAATGATGAGCTGCCCGCCAGATTCTGCCGGAATGCATTCCCTGACTGGCTGCCTCCTGGTCTGGAGGCCACCGCCAGCTGCTCCAGAGAGGAACCCTGGCTGGGGGCACCTGCCAAGTCACAGACCCCCTTCCAGCCACCTCTGGGGCACTTCCCACAGGAGGATATTCCTTCACTGTCTCCATGTTGTTCTAGACCTGGATTCATATGGGGGTCTCACCCTACCCCTGGACTATTTGAAGTTCATTATTTTCTTCATTTTACCTGTGTATATTTACTTTCCCCTTCTTTTCTCTCTCCCTGCCAGTCCCCCTCCCTCCTCCCTTCCTTCTTTCCACAAACATGTGCCAGAGACTGTAGGGGAATGGAAGGAAAATAGCCCTGCCCTCATGGAGCTTTCCTTCTAGCAGAGGGAAATGGAAAATAACGAATACACGTGATGAATAAGGAAATCACATGGTATGTTTGACAGGGATAGATGCTACAGAAAAAGAAAAAGCAGAGCCACAGAAGGGTGATTGCATGTGATGGGGGTAGGCTGCCCTTTAAAGAAAGTAGGGAAATGGCAGCCTACAAATTGCAAAGTCCTCAGTAAGCAGGGACACGGGCACTCTGCCCACCAGGGAGTAGCTCTCCCTGGCTGGTCTGGCCAGACATCTCTCAGACCGCCGATAACTTTTGGTTTCAGGTGTCCAGGATGTTACTGTTCCTGCTGCTGCTGTGGTTTCTGCACACCACTGAAGGGTCCCAGCGGGCTGAGCCCATGTTTACTGCAGTCACCAACTCAGTTCTGCCCCCTGACTACGACAGCAACCCCACCCAGCTCAACTATGGTGTGGCAGTTACTGATGTGGACCACGATGGGGACTTCGAGATCGTTGTGGCTGGGTAAGTGGCTCCCGCCCTGAGTCTCACAGATCTACTGGTCAACTTGTGCGGTGATAAGGCTAAGTAATGCACCATTCCAAAATCCAGTGACTGCAAACACACACTGTCATCATGGATCTCGGCTGGGTTCAGCTGGGGTTCTGGAATGTGCTGTCCTTACCTTTCGCGATAGCAGTGAGTTGGGATGAGGGTAGATAGGAAAAAAGGTGTTTGATCCGTGGGCTTCCCAAGGAGAAAATTTGAATGCTTTCCTTCAAGCTGTGCTCTTCAAATTTAAGCCCCCTTCTTTATGCAGGTGTTACTTCCTTACCAGTGGGACTCGAGAGCCTCTATAGAGGAGGGGCTTAAGGGTGACAATTATAATAGAAAGAGATGCTCAAAGCTGCCTTTGCACAGCCTTTGGCATATAATTACAAAAAGAGTAATTGTCCATGTCAAAGAAGAGAGGAAGATGGGAATTAAGGATAACCACATTTCCCCTAAACCATGTCAGTGTTCCCACTGCTGCCTTCTCTCCTAAGAAGCAACATTGTGTAGCAAAAAAGCATAAATTTGGAGTTCAAATAGCTTGAGTTCATGCCCTAGACCTACAACTTTCTAGTTGCATGACAATGAGTCAGTTGCTTACTCGCCAAGATACAGAAGTACCGGCTGTAAAATGAGGACAGCTGTGTTGCTTTCTCATCCTGAAGTACCAGTAGGCCCTCGCACATGACAGAGCATTGTTTGTCCTGGCGATCCCCACTGACACCGAGCACCAATATGTACCAGGCGCTGTACTAAGCCTTTCAGGTGCACTGTTTTATTTCATCCTCCTGATAACACTACCAAGTAAGTATACAAAAAAGGAAATTAGGATTCAGAGAAGCTAAGTGACTTGCCCTCTGTCAATAAATATGAGGATGAGTCAGGATTGGAACCCCAAGGCTCCCTAACTCTACAGCTGCTAGACTTCATTGAACAAAGTTTAGTTATCACTTTAAAAATCAATCAGCAAAAGCACTACAGGGACTTGTCAACCTCATTCTGGGAGGCCTGAGCTCTTAAGGCAGCCCTGAACAGCGTAACTGGCAGGTAGTATTATTTGTGGTAATTATGTATACAGTAGTAACTCACCTTGGAATTGGAAGTTCTGATTTTAATTTTAACCATGCCATCCAACGGTGAACCTCGGGCAAGGTGCCGCTTTCTCATCTGTGAAATGGGCAGTGAAATCTACCTCCTTTTTCCCCACATGGGACGGTGGTGATGATGTCTAGAAAAGAAACGTTGTAAAGTGCATTTCTTCTCTTATTTCTTCTACCCCACAAAGAGTAAAGGTACTAGATTCTAGACTCCTCCTGGAAGTCTAGGTTAGTGTGTGATGCAGCAGAAGTCTCTGTGACACAGCAGGTGCTCAGGTCGGCGCTGTCTAATATCACATCACTGGCCCCATGTGGCTGTGGGGCTCCATATGCAGCTACTATGACTAAGAAACTGAATTTTTAATTTTATTTCATTTTAATTATATAGCCATATTTAAACTAGCTCAATTTGGGGCTTTCAGAAGGAAAGGGGAAAAATAAAAATGGTTGTAATAACACGTATTGCCTGCGGGGGCCAAGCAGCTTGTCTGAGTTCGGCCGTGGCTGCCCCCAGTCACTCTGAATCAGAGAAGCCCTTCTGGGTGAATCCGGCCTCCCAGAGCCACGTGCCTCTCTGCTGGAGTCTCTGGTTAAAGGACTCTGCTATATTTCCGGAATGTTCCTGTTGGGCTGCCTCCTGCTAGGTGGCACTTGCTTTGCCTCGTGGGCCCTGGTTGCTGACCGAGGACAGAGAGCAGCGGGGCGACTGTCCATTCCTCCTCCCGAACCTCCGCCTGGGACTCCTGTGAGCCAGCTCTCCTTTCCTCTAGGCACCAGGCTCAAGTGCAGGTCTCCGTCCCCCCATCCTTTGATGTGCGGGGGAATGCTGCATCTCCCGAGTGTGCAGCTGCTTTCATTCCAAGTGCCAGACATTCATTTCAGCTTCCTTTTCACTGAAGTCTTTTTCTCTTTCTCTTTCAAGGAGCTCAAGAAATTAGCTTTCGTGTCCTTTATAACAGGGAGGTGCGACCCAACCACCATTAGCAGTCAGCATGATGTTGACTGGGGGTCCCGCAGCACTTGGAGTCGTACTGAAAAAGCAAGACCAGACCATACAGGGGCTTCACCCTAACTCAGCCAGAGATCAGGGGCAGGCCCCTGAGCCGATTTGCCCCGTCTGAGGCCGCTTGGGCTGTTGGACATTATACTGAGAGATAATATTCTCACCCCTAGCAAAGAAGAAGAGTTACGTGGAGGACAGGATGGCGAATTTGGGTGGCTTCCCAGCTCCAGGTCAGGCCTTCTTTGTGGCTGTTGTGAAGCATTGTGAATTCTCAGCACGTCAGAAAGACACGTTCTAATTTAAGTACCAAAATACATTCCAAAGGCAAATATAACTTTTTATTATCTTCAGCTTAGGATGATTTGTCACTGTCTTCTCCCTTGGGCTGGAGAACCAGGGTTGACTATGCAGACATATTTAAATCAGGACCTTGGGAGGTCACTCGGTCCCTGCCTCACCTTTTCATAAGGCCACACCTCTAGCTTTCCAGAGGCACCATTTATGCAGAGGCTTCCAAAGGGACCAGTGCACTCTTTTTGTAGTCCAGCTTAATTAGTTACATCAGGAATCTACATGACTAATCTGATCCCCCATATTAGAGTTTAAGCTGTTGCTGTTAGCTTTTGTTTTGCAATTGCCTTTGAAGATGTAAACCAAGTGGCCCCACCTTTGCCAACAATGACAGCCAGGTTTGGCGGGGCCTTGGATCTTGGGTAGACCTCCTGGCAGCTCTTCTGACTTTGGCTCATTCTCCTTCAGCCCCCTCCACCCTTATTTAACTCCATTTTCTTCCTTCTTTGATTGTAGGCACTGTTTAAGAGATCACATGTAGCAGGAGTTGAAATTTTAAAAATTGGAATGTGAATGCTTTTACCTGGGGCACCTGCGGCCTGGCTCATGAGAGGCCCACTCTCTATTATCTCACAGTTCCTTCCATTAGCTGGCCCCCCAGGCATTTACTTTGGGGACCCCTGGGATAATGGCCTCTTCTGTTTATAAGGCGCCCCTTCACTTGAACTTTCTTGGATTTGTTGACCTTGGAGTGTGTCTGACTGGGAGCCCTGTTGCTTTGAGTATTTACTCTTTGAATAGGTTTGTTTTGATTTGCTTTTTCGTTGTCCTCGTTCTGGGTATTGATGGCATTGATTTTGAGCGTGTCGCGGGTGAGTTGGTGTTGTGTTTCAGATTCTTGAGTTAATTGTGATGGAAGGCATGTGCGTGCATCCGACTCAGGGAGGTGCAAAAGACACCCGCCCTTTGTTCTGCAGGGACTGGGCCAGGGCCTGGCCGGGCGGAGTGGGCCAGCTCAGCCTCTGCGCAGCCGGGCGAGTGTCTCTGCATGTGGAAGGCTGATCTGGCGCCCGGCAGGTGCGTGATTGCGCTCTGTGGACAGCCTCCTCCCTGCAGGGAGTGGGGAGGATTTGATCACCCCTGCAGACAGCTGCACACGCACAGACCCTGGAGGATCTTCAGGGCTGGTTCCTCCGGTAAATAGAAAACCCAGTGGCTTCCCCTTCTCTCAATAGAACTAAATACCCAATCTACAGTCTCACGTAGCCTGGGAAGGATTTCCTGTTGGTGTCAATCTTGTATAATTCCTTTAGAACAGCTTTTGTTTCCTGGGATATCCCCAGAGGCCCAAGAGCCCACCACCCCATCCTGATGTTTTCCAACAGTTTTGCTCAAATGGAAGATTGCTGTGGTTGTAAAGTTTAAATCACGATTTAGATCAGTTTTGCTAACAAAGAGCATTCATTTGATAAAACCTTAACTCATTCTTCACACTTGGAAGGGTTTCATTTAAAAAGATGCTACATGTTGTAAAGCAGTGTTTCATTTTTTTCTTAATTGTGCAACTATTTCAGAAAATTTTTTAATTTACTAAAGTTAATTGAATTATTTAAAAGGCAAACTATTCAATTATCAGATTAATCATAATCATGTAAGAGATATTTTTGCCATTATAAATAAGAATAATGATAAAGAATGGGATGTGTAGCTATGATTTAATCCAAGCAACATTTATTTATAGTTTATTGTTGTAAGTATAGAGATAAGATAATTCAGCAGCTATTGATGTGTGTGTGTGTATATATATATAAAGTATAGATTTGGTAGATGGATATATCTATATAAATATATTCCCATATATGCAATATATTTAATATATATACTACCTACATATACAAACACACTTTTAGCAAAATAGGAAAAGTATTTTAACTTTTAGCCTAAATTGTTGCTTTGTAAAATGTAATATTTTAATAGATTTGATCATCATTTTTGACATTATCTTAAATGTTTGATATTTCATTGTTTCTCTGTTAATTTAATAAAACTTAGCTATATTTTATTGCAAAAAAATTACACAATATAGATGAAAGTAATTTTTTTAAGCTCCTTAGTGTGGGTGTATCATATTCATTTTGTCACTCCTCAAGTGACAATTAAGCAGTTTCTAATCCAAGACCATTGCAAACAATGCTGACCTGTAGGGTATCATTATACGTAGGCAAATATCCTTACACACATATGCAAATAGTTCTCTTGCATAGATACCAAGAAGTGGAAATGTGAGGACTGATATGTACTAATTAAATCTTAACAGGTATTGCCAAATTTCAATCTCAATCTAATCTCAATCTTTTTTTACTTATTCATAGCCTAATCTCAATTTTTTTCTACTTTTTCATAGCCTAGATCTAAAAGATAAGCTTTGGTTTATTAAATTCAGATATTTGAGCACCTACTATGTGTACAGTCACATATACCCCAGGGTCTGAACTGTATCAATTTAGATGTAATAGTTTCAGGAAAGAGTAAAAAAAAAAAAAAACCCATTCTATATCTGCAAAAGAAACTGTGTTAAAAAC